GCAGCAGAAAACATTTCAACTGACACAACTGAGTCAAACAAAGTTGGTTAGGTTACTTAAGGAGAGTCCACTAGAAACTTTATCCTATATAATAAAAGGCTAATATGCAAATTGACCGAATAGCAGAATGACCAGTCACTATGATGCACACCACCAGGGGGCAGACGCTCAATGCAGGAGCTGCTCCCTGGTTGTCAGTGTGCTTACACAGGGGGAGTGCTGCTCAGTCAGAAGCTGGGCTCACAGCTGGTGAGCACAGTGGTGGTGGCGGGAGCCTCTCCCACCTCCGCGGCAGCACTAAGGATGTCTAACTGCAGGCTTAGGCCCACTCCCCGCATCAGTTGGACATCCCCTGAGGGCTCCCAGACTGTGAGAGGGCATGAGCTGGGCTGAGGGCCTCCCCAAAACCCCTCCACCGAGTGCACGAATTTCGTGCACTGGGACTCTAGTTATGTTAATAAGCATTTTTGTACTATCTCCCAAATTTCTTTGGCTGTGCATTTCATTCTTTCACAGTGCATCTCACAACACAAGACCTAGTGTGACTCCTAAATTTTACAAAAGTATGAACTAAGACCTAGAGATTTAAATGACTTTTCTAAGTTATTACCACTGGCTCTTCAACAACTCAAGTTTGAACTGTGTGGGTAACTTCTACATGGATTTCTGTGCTGTTCAAGATCACACTGTTCAAGAGTTGACAGTATTGGTAGGTAGTCACAGATCTGGACCTAGAGTATAGGCTTCCTGGCTCCTAGGCCTGCATTCTCCCTTGAAGATCACACCCCCGCTCTACCCAAAGAGGTTCATTGAAGATAAATCTTAAAAGAAGAAACTAATTATTCTTTTGCAGAGACTTCAGATTCATAGTATATTATAATGCAAAAGTTGCAAGTTAAGGGGCTCATAGGCAACATAAAAACTTTATGTCAAATAAAATAGGTCTGAAGTATTTGAAAAAAAATCAATCAGTTACAAGGTAAAAATCAGGTTATTTCAAATAAAAATATTAATTCTAGCTTCCCCAATAAAACTCAGGCAATCCTGCAACACCAGGCCTATACAGGGTGGGGCAAAAGTAGGCTTATAATTGTCCATATGGAAAATAACACAATAAATTAAGAAATAATAATACAAGAATAAACTCTTTGTTCTGTATGCTCCCAACTGTAAACCTACTTTTGCTTCACCCTGTATTTCCACATAGGAACCAGCTAGAGCCGAGTGGCCATCTTTGCCTCCTGAGATGAACGCATGGGCACCTCCTTTTGCCACAGTCCCTGCCACTCTCAATTGTACCCTAACACTAATGCTAAGTGTCAGTGGTCATTTATAACTACACAAAAAAGATTGCTTTCCTCCTTATACCCAGTCTATTTCATTCAATTACCTTCCTGGCCCAATAGTCAATTATTTTGCTATCCTGGAAAAAGTAATAAATATTAAAAAATATTTCCAAGGTTCAGTAATTTTGCAACAACTACATTACAAAGTTGAGACACACAATAACTCTCTTTTCTTCCTTTACTGACCAAGACCATGTCCTTTTCTGAACAACTGAGTGAGTCGATGATGAACAAGTTTCTTTACTGTGCATCTTTTTTTAGTGCTTCATGGGCCAGGGGGTTAAGAGGGCCAGCATGTATTATTTTTGGGAAGGGGGCATGAATTTTTTTTTCAGAAACCATGTTTTTGTCCCTATTATCAACTAAATATACCTTGGGAAATACTGTCACAATGTCCCTTCCTGTCAGTGAGCCTGCGGACTAATGCCTCTTGTTGCTGGAATTATTCTCTGCTATTCCCTGGAAGTTGTTTTGAGAACAGAACTATAGCAGCCTGGTCTCCATCAGGCCAGCACCCAGCACAGGCCAGTCTGTGGTCTGATCAACACTGACGCTATCCCGAAGAATAGCCCCATTATTCTAGGATGCCTAGGACAGAGGATTTCTGGCAGAGCAGGGAGAACAGGACCAGCCTAATTGAGGTCCACAGGCATCCCTCCCCAAGAAGTCAGCTTCCTGGCTCCCTATCTTCTCTGAAAACAACAACAAAGGGGAAAGGTGGAAAACAAAGTGATGGGGTGGATTGGTGACAGGTGAAACCTGTGCTTTCTTCAAAGCCAGTCTCTTCACAGAAAGGCATCGGACCCCAACAGTCATCTGTCCTTCTCTTTACAATTCCTATTCACAGGTGAGGAATGACTAATCTCAACCCTAGGTTGTGCCAACAACATTCAGGACAACTGGGTCTAGCTGAGAAAACAACAACTAACCCAAACCAAAAGCCTTGAGATTAATTTTTTTAGACGTAGGTGGGGCTGGAAGCTCATCTGAAGCTGCGGGAGAAAGTGGAGCTTCTCTTGGGGGTGTCCTGGGGACGAATGAGTCCCCTATGTTACATGTCTCCTTAGAAGTTTCCCTGGCGACAACTTTCCAGGTGAAGCTGGGCTCAGAAACGCTCTCATCAGCAGCTCCAAGTTGAGGAAGAGGACCCCCCCCTTAGCAGGAAGCAGACCTTACACTTAGACGTACGGCTGCAGTGCACACCTTGCAGCAAGAATGGTCAGAGCGACTGTGGAACTTCTACTGAATTCAGGTTGATAAAGCCAGAGGGAAAACGTCAGACAGATAGTGCTCCTTGAATGAGACATGTTCCTAATTTGCCAACAAGTCAAGTCCTCACCTGCCGGTGAGTCAATCAGCTAAGGCGTCTACTTGCTAGCCCAGCATGCACTCGGTCCGGCAGTCTCTGCAAGCCCAGGCTCGGCTGCCTTGCTTCTTCCAGGCTACGTTACAAAGTTGAGACACACAATAACTATTTTCTTCCCTTACTGACCAAGACTGTGTCCTTTTCCAAACAACCGAGTTTGGTCAATTGCTCGATAGAAACTCTATAAAACAATGACATGCATAAGAGAACAATGTGGCAAGACAGGTGGTGTGCAGTTTTTGCTTTGGTTGGGACAACATCAGAGAGAAAGCTTAAGGACAGGCCTAATGATGGAGTTAATATGAGTATTACATTCTAAAAATAAAGCAGTCACAGCTTACATGTTGAGCATTTATTATAGGTCGGGCATAGCGCTAAGAACTTTCTAAGGATTATCTTGTGCAATTATGGGGACCACCCTGGAAGTGTTCTGATTTTATGAATGCAGAAATGAGGCTCTGAGAGATTAGGTTAGGTGCCCAAGGTCACGTAGTTCCCTAGTGGTAGAGACAGTGTTCAACCCAGGCATTGTGTCTCCGATGCTGCTTCTCCTAAAACAACACTCTACAGCTCCCCCAATAGACATGCCTCTTGCCCTGGAGGGGCTCTGAACTCTAATGTGCTCATGGCCACTCAGGACTAAGAATACACAAGAGCTGATGCAAAATTCTTAGATACTGAACACATTTGATACAGCAAAGAAAATGTCACATAATAAAGGCCAAATTTTAATAAACAACTGAACAATTGAGTCAAGCCTCTATTTTAATTTTTGTTTCCTGTTTTTTGTTTTGTTTGTTTTAGACTATTATCTTCACTGTGAAGAACTGAACAGCTTCACCGAGATAAAATAATGTTATCTCCCTACTCCATCCCTTCTCTAAACAGTAGCCCAGAGGGGCAGCAGCCACAGACAGAACAGACCTGGGCCCACGAGACTTCCCTGAAGGATTTTTGCTTTACCTGCTGTAGACGAGGCATTCTCGGTTGTTGATCACTTTGTCGGATTTGTACCTCCGGAAGTCTTCCCAAGCATCCTTGATGGCAGTGACCCCCAGGATGATACAGATGGGTATCAGGTTCACCTCAGGCTGGAAAGCATTGACCACGGGGACAAAATTCAGAACAGCAATGCCCACGAAATAGATATTGGCAAACCGGTGTAGCTGCTCAAAGACGTTCTTGGGTACGAAGGACAGCACAGTGTACTTGCTGGTCTTAATTTGATTCCCAAGGTAATGTCTGTTGGGGTTCTCTTTGTGGGCACATCCTTCGAAGGGCAGGTTGGAGACCACCACTCGTTTCTTGTCTTCTTTCCTCTTCCGCCGTCCCTTCCCTTCCTTTTTCATCTCTGCTTAATCCCGTCTCTTTGATTCTCATGTGAGTTCCACAGGAAGGAGGTTTTCCCCTGGTCAGTTTCATTGTTCAGCAACCAGCCAGTCACGTCCCTGACATTGTTTACCTCCCTTCTCTGCTGAAAATTTCTCTCTTCTTTTACAAGGCATATTAAAAATAAAAAGCTGGTCCACAAACACCCGGGGAGAAATCTGACAAGGAAAGAGCTTGCTAAGAGCAGGTGTCCACCTGCCAGGCCACTTCCTCCTACTTGTTGAGACTCCACCTGTTGGAATGTAGACGTCACCCACAGGTATCTTTCGTTTCCAGTCCTCCAGTCCGGGCAGCCAAGAACAGGTGTGTCTACTCTGGGTCCTAAAACCTATCTAGTTAAGTTCTAAAGGCAAGGATTTTTAACCAAGAGGCTTAAATGCTGGAAAACTGGTATTCATTTTCTTGTTTGGGAGACATTGCCTGTCACTCTCTAAGATCTGCTCCTCAATTTGGTCTCCTGAGATGATCCAGTCAATACGAGAGTTTGATTTTTGAGCTCTTAGCCCTATTTCTAATAATATAACATCGCTATGTTTAAGTAGGTGAGAGTTTATACAAGTGAAATGAAGGTTTCTAAGTCTCAGCACTTTTGACACTTGAGGTTGGATAATTGTTTGCTGTGGGGGCTGTCTCATATATTGTAAGATGTTTAATATGATCCTTTATAGTAAGACCAACTAGTTAGATACCGGTAGCAACTTCCTTTCCCAAAATGACAACCACAAATGTCTCCAGACATTGTCAAATGTCCCCTGCAGGGCAAACGTGCCCTGGTTGAGAATCACTGAATTAAGTGAATGTAAGAAAATGTATGAGAAGAGAGACCCACCTTTTGAAAGTGTGGATGAGTCTGCATGACCTATTTACAAGAGAGACGGCAGGAGAATGATTCCTCTTACCTCTCATATATCTGGATGTGGGAGAAGTTTATCTCTCTATCGAAGCAGTACCGCTTGAAGTCCTCCATGCCGTCCTTGACCATGATGATGAACAGCACAGTGGCCAATGGTAACATGGTGATTTCCCTGTGGAAAACTTCCATGGTGGGCATCCAGTTCAGAATCACCAGGAACAGGAAATAGAGGTTGGCCCACCTGGAAGGGGCAAGCAAGGTGTGAGTGAATATCACGGAGGAGAAAAATATACTTTCCACACTATTTCTACTATTGGCCTTTAACCAACTAAAATGACATTCTTTCTCAGTGTCACCTCGAACATTATGGTAAGGGCTGTGAAGCCAGATCTATCTAGATTCAAACTGGGTTCCTATTGTTTACTAGTTGTGTGACCTCCCGAGCCTGCTTCGTCTTGTGTAAAATAGGGATAGTACTGCCTATTGTAAAGGGCTCTTATAGATATTACATGAGCTAATATTTATGTACACAATAGAGGGTTTTGGAGCATGGCAGTTGCTCAATAAATGGTAGCTTATAATAATAATTACAAAGGTTAGGATGATATCGAAGTGCACATTTTGCTTTACAAAATGAAAAGATGATTTTGCATATGTTATCTCTAAACAGTGGGTTGCATTTTTAAGTTCTCCAAGTGCATCTTGCTCCCCCTTGCCACAGTGCCTTTGTACATGAAGATCCATCTGCAGGAACAGTCTTCTGGCTCCCTTCTCTGACTCCTCTCTGCCTTTTTTCACCTACTTAACACATTCTCTTCTTTCAGGTTATACTTCAATGATCAGTTCCTCCTGGAAGTCTTCCTGGATTTTTTTTAATGAGGCCAGCTTTCCCTCTTCCTCCAACAGCACCATAGGTCTCTCCTTGGGGAATATATGAGTTATAATTTTACACCGATTTACATAATTAGTAAAATTAATGTCTCTTTCACTGGACAATATACTCAGGACAGTCTCTTTTTGTTCCTTCTATATTTCTAGAACTCAACAGAGTAGAATCTGTATAGAATCTCTAATATCTGAGCAGAATCTGTGTAAATATTTACTGAATGAATGAATGACAAGACTTCCAATGTACATGCATTTAGATTTTAAAGGAAAGGTGGCCCATAGTGCACACCTCTGAGGTTCTCTGAGTGGCAGATATGCGCTTCAAGTGAGTATTGGCCAAGTGTACCTGTGAAACTGCTCCACGAGATTCCGGGGCAGGAAGGTGAGGAGAGTGTACTTGGTTGTGCAGATTCTGTTGCCCGAGTATCTCTTGGAGACCTCTGCCCAATCTTGGTGGAATATGTTGTTGTTGGGGAACACAACCCGTTGCCGAGCCAGGTTGTAGCTCTGACTCTCCTTCTCTGGGGACAGCAGTGGTGTGGCTTCTGATGGGGACTGGAGGAGGCCATCTCGGATACGCCACTGCCACCGGTGCCAAGATGAGTCCACTGACAGGGCCATTTCTGGCAGCAAGCTACGTGCTGAAAACAGACACATGAGGTCTCCATGGTCAGAAGAAATATGTGGTATATCAGCTCAAATCCACCCTCTGACCTCCCATCCAACAAGGAAGGTACTGGGATACAATGTGAGGAAACTAGATTCAATCCCCATAATCCATTTTTGTTCTAGGCTGAGAGACATTGAGCAAATAATCTCTCTATATAAAAGCCTAAGCGACCATTCAACCATTCAACTGGTCAACCGGTTGCTATGATGTGCACTTACCATCAGGGGGCAGATGCTCAACATACAGGATTGAGCTCCCTCCTGTCTGGGTCAGGCCTGTGGGGATTGGGCCAAAACTGGCTCTCTGACATCCCCAAGTGGTCCTATATTGTGACAGTGCACAGGCCAGGCCAAGGGACTCCACCAGTGCACGAATCCATGCACCAGGCCTCTAGTCATGTAAATAATACACAACTAACACTGTGATAAGTGCCACGAAAGCATTTAAGGGGAAGAGATTCTGATGACCGAGTTGCAGCTATCAGTAAAAGTATGGCCTGGTGGGCTATGACCCCAGAGGTCAGAACTCTAGGTCTGGTTCATTGCTAACCCTGAACTGTACCTTCACCTGGCTGGTCTTCAGTTTCCTCACCATAATATGAGGAAAACTATTCTTACTCGACTTTTCTCACAAGCTTTTAGTGAGGAACAAATTGAATAGTACATAAAAGTACATTCAGACATGTCTTGAAGGGAAAGGTGTCTATTTTTTAGGTTTTCTCCAGCTCTAAATTTTTCTGACACTGATAATATTTCGAAGAACCCCAGTTGTGGCCAGAACCTCAAAGGACAGTGACAGGTGGGCCAGAAGAGAGAGATTCTTTTTCAGGACATTCTAGGATGTGCTATGTGGTGTCCCAGGAACGCCAGTTGGCTTTTTCAGATCTTGTTGACCGGGGTTGGGGGGCGGGAGATCCCTTCCTTCCTCTCCACTCCACTTGGTGGTTTCAGAAACTGAGTGCTTGTCAAGCAGCCAATCTCCCTAGACAGTGGACAAATATTGCTTGATCTGGGATATTTCTATTTCTGAGGTCGTTCAGTGAAACTTATGGGCAATTCTTCAAGGTTCCTTTTAGCCAAATCTTGCTTAAAGACCCAGAAGGATGTTATGCAAAGATATCCTTGGTAAAGTTAAAAGTTGTATATAATGGTGCTTCGCACAGGATAATTTTCTTTTGAATAAATGGATGAGTGAATATCAGGTATTACTAATCTTATAAGGAGCTACCCCACCTGTCACTGTAAATATGATTCACTTAAGGAGAAAAAAAATCCCATTTCTCGTTTAAATGGTAATATTTTCCCTTCCTGGTGCCCATGTGATCTGACCCTTATCATAATTCTCCTCATGACTTTAATCAATCCAAATGATTTTCAATCCACAAACCCCACGGCTACAAGAAGCTCTTCAGAGTCCTAAGTGAGTCCTTGTAGCAAGCATGAAAAAATAAATGCAATTACTGATGCCCATCATAATGTGACCAGAAGCTGTATTATGACATGTGACAAGCCAGAAATAATAATGTATATCTTCTTTCTCATTATAAAAAATATGCCTCTTTTTATGAATTCTTTTTTTATTGCAAAGGAAAAGGAAATGAAAAGATAATTCAAGAATAGAGTGGAAAATGCAAATGAGAAGTACTGCCTTGGCTAGTGCCATGCATATGAGTCTTCTCACAACTTTAGGTGATAAGATCTTCATAAATGAAGAGATTAGGTTGATATGGGAGATGCAGGTATTTTACGTGGGGTGGTTTAAAGAGCCCATTTATCAAAATCCTATTCTTTATTAACAATGTAAAATAAGCTTCCTTAAAAATTAAGCAGATATAAAATGAATGCCAGATCAATGGATGAGACTCTGATGAACAGCTAGACATTTCCATCATTTCAAAGTATCTACCCCCCAGCTACCCCCCCCCCCCCAAATAATTACTTACAATGTTAAAAAAGAATCACTTTGTAGTAAAGAAACCTGACAGGTACCACCTTCCCCAAAAGATCAAAGCAAATATCATTGATAATGGGATAACATGACATCTTGGGCCTCTTGATATGATGCACTTAGAAGGGCATGGCATCACGTCTGTGGTAGGCACAAGGAAACACTGAAAAAACTCAAATTGGGGGCTATTCTACAAAACAACTAGCTTACATTTTTCAAATGTCTAAGGTCAAAGAAGGGCAGAGGGACTGTGTCTGATTTAAAAAGACTAAAAAGAGTTGACAACTAAATGTAATGTATGATGCTGGATAGGATCCTGAACTTGTGGGAAATTAAAAAAAAAATAGGTATAATGACATATTGGGCAATGGGCAAGATTTGAATATCAATGCAAATTAGGGAATAGTATTTTAATAATATTGAATTTCCTGATTTTAATAATTCTATGGTGGTTACATAAGAAAATGTTCTTGTTCCTAGGAAATCTATTCTAAAGTAGATATGGGTAAAGAAGACATCCCAATGGTTAAGAAAATAATGTATATATTTACTGGTATAGGTATGCATACATGTGCATACACAGACTCCTTCCCCCCCAACACACAAGGTGGCAGAGTAAGGAAGACTTCCTGGGAAAGGAGTATTTATTTACACAGTCTCCTAAAGAAACCCATACCAGTTAGCTAGGTAGGGTGGTTGTGGAAGGTTGTTCCAGGTAGAAGAACTGATTCTAGAAAAAGAAAGTTCACAGGTGTGTCCAGTGGAGTACATCGAAGTGAGGGGCAAAGGGTGGTGAAGGGTGAGGCTGGAGAGACAGACAAGGGCCAGCTGGCGTGGGAAGACTGCTTCCCGCAGAGTTTTAGGCAGGGAAGTGACATGATTGATCAGAGTCCTTCTGGCCCGAGTCATGAGAATGGGCTGCAGGGGCCAACACCAGCCACAGGGAGGCAGCTTCTTAATCTATCCTCCTACCTTCCTCCAAATAAATGACTTCTTTCCCAAAGCAGAACAGAAGGCAAAGGGGGATTGTGTAATCCTTTTATTGTGTAAACCTATTACTTTCAGAGAGGGAGGAGCATGCCAGAAGCAACCCTTGCTGAACAGCTGTTGGTTGAAGTCAGATGAATTATCAAACGAAAAACAGGGGTTTACAACCAGGGCCTGGAATTGTAGGAGGCCCTCCAGAGAGCCATATATACAGAGCCAGCTTGTTTGAAAACGATCCCAAACCTCTAATAGAAACATCTTTGTCGTCATTGTCAAAAACAAAATAACTATGGCTACCACTTATCTGGTCTGTCCTGTGTGCCAGGCACTGTGGAGTGGATGCTCTTTAAAACTTAGATTTTATCGTTACCATTTCACAATGAAGAGACCCAGCCCCGGGAGGTTCAGTGACCGCCCGAGGACCAAACGGATCCTAAATGGACCAGTTAGGAGTTAAGTGCAAGTCTCTCAGGCTCCCAAGTTAATGGCGAGGTTGGAATTTTTTTCCTTTTGCAGCAGCAACAAAGGGCACTAAAGAAGTTGCCCGTTTCCTTGAGAAAAGTTCTGCAATGTCCTGTAACTCCTCCCAAGGCACTGGCGAGCTGATGGCTACTCTGAATGTACTTGAGCTGCAACTACTAACCTAATTGTTTTTGGCTGGCACATTTACTTGACTTAATGTAAGCCCTTATTTCCCACAGGAGTGATGTTATGAATAGGTATTACCCCGTGGAAACCTTATGTACATAAAAATGTACTAACACTATTCACGAAAACATATGAAGGGAAAAAGAACCCCGCAAATACGTGCTTTTGCAAACACAAATACTGAATGGGAAGGCTACATTATAATTTTTATACTGTTCTTTTCTTCTTTCTCTCTTTTTAAAGAGGCTTTAAAAAAATCTGAGTGCAATGAAGTTTGAAATGAAAATGTTGGCTTTCTTTCCTGGCAAATCTCTTTCTAACAAGAGTCTTAAGCCCTTTTCTTTGCTCCAGGGATCTTTAAACTAAATTAAAATTAAAGTTAACTCACTTAAAAACTTTCCTTAGGAGCTGAGGTGTCTGAAAACCGCTGTAAGCTGACTTTGGCTATGAAACCCTGGTTCTTGTTTTGTGATGTAAAATACTCTGCAATTACCAGCCTTGAACCCCAACAGTTTCAGCCCAGTTCCTTGCTGCTTTTCTGCATGGGTGGTTCCCTCTGAGTTTATAGCCTTTACTCAGGCTGAAAACTCCTACCTTAACGTGTCACCATGTCGGTTAGCTTTTCCAAGAGACATGTTCCTTCGGTCAAAATTGTAGCTCTGATGGATAAGCATATGATTTGCATGTTTGCTCAGGAAGCCACATGGTCAGAAGTCATTCTACCTCTTGACTGGGCACACTGCCTTTTGATATGTGGGTGGTGTCAGCTCACGCAGCTGACAACTGGGCGACACTGGTTGCAGTAAGTAGGCCAGTGTTAGTACCGGTCATGGGTGCCGAGGAGTGTGTGAGGGAATGTGTGTCAGTATGGGTGCGAATGTTATGACTGAAAGAGTATGAAGGTGAGAAGTTGCAGGCAGGCCTTCCTAGGCTGGAGACATTGTACACTCATGCTTTCTTGGAAGCAGGACGCCTAGGAATTCGTGGACAGTGCTGCTCTGTCCTGATGGAATGCTCACGCCTCCTGAGCTGTGAGGATTCAGAGGTCATTGGGGTGAGGCTGACCTGCTTGACCATATTCATTCTATCAAAGGGGAAAAGCAAAGTTTATAAAAAGGGTTTGCTGCCTGGGTCTCACACTGATAGGGTTAGCTAGCTAGCTTAATTAGGAAGGTTTAGGGAGTGAGGAGGGTCCATGGGTGAGGAATACATAGATGGAGACTTGCAAACGCCAGGGTGCTTATCTTACTTGTGCAGAGGATAGAGAAATGCCATGGGAAGAGGGGATCCAGGAGATGAAAACATTTTTAGTCTGAGCAATGAAAACAGCCATAAACCAAAGAAAGACAGACTGGGGTATTTCTGGCCTGAGCAATTAGAACAGCTATA